AATTTGAAATCAAAATTCATGGGTTTGAGGGTGAAATTGAAATACATGAGTTTTAGCCTTTTGAATTACACAGGTGAAATACATGTATTTTTTTAAAATTCAATTACTTTTTATTTAAGTAAAAACAAATAGTGATATTGAATTTAGAAGGTTGAAATTCAAATACATTTCACCAAATTCATGTTCCCAAACTAACCAGAAATGAAAAAGATAAGAACTACAGAAAAACATGAAAACAAAAAAAAAAGGGAAAATAATGTGAACAAAACAAGAAGAAAAGCAACAATAATACAAGAAGCACAATGCAGGTAGAGATGACACAGCCATTTTTATGCAATTTGTGTTACCGCAATACCCACAAAAGTATTAAGTTGACAAACAACATTGGAAATTTTGTTATGTTTGAAATTCTAAGGAAGTATCAGCCTAGCAAACTCCACCAGATCCCACACAACGAAACTCTCTTCGGTCGATCCTGACAATATAATCGGATGCAAGGACCTGTCATCCACCAAATCAAACATCCTGGATAGAAAATCCCATTATTCCAAGCAATTTATCCTGGAGTAAAGATGCCACACTTGCATGATCGATCCGGTCCTCCATAATCCCATTCAAGATTGCTTTTATCCTCAAAATAAGCCAATGGAATTGAAGATTGTGTGCTCAGAGAAGACGCCATCGGTTCAAAGGATGCCTTCGCCTATCCCAAATCAACGATCTAAAGACTTAGAGCTTGTTTGGTGCAGATTGTGGGAAGAGCTTTTTGGCTTTAAAAGCACAAGTTGCACCAAACGGATCAGCTTCCCAAACTTGCTGCAGCTTTTGAGAAGCTCACCTTCTTGCCTTTCCTTTGCAAAGCCCAAAAGCTCCCATTTCTTACTTCCGCAGGAACTTCTCGCTTCATGTTTAATGAAATTGATATGATCTTCCCATCTTATCCTCACACTTCCTTTTATTTACAAAAAAACTACTATATAAAAGACCAATTTATAACATCAACCAACCAGCCCCAGGCACATTTGTTTCTTCTTCCTCATCCAATCACAAAAACAAATAAAAAATATTCATCCAATCACAGAAACAAATCAAAAATACTTAACTATCTTATTCCTCATTCAATCAAAGCAATAAACCGAAAATACTTACCATATTCTTCCTCATTTTCTTTCCCCCTAAACTGAAAATCCCCTCAGTTTTCGTTCAGAGATGAACCCAGGAGCTAGGTTCGCGGCGAACCCCGCGCTTGGGTTCCGAGACGAACCCAGCGCCTGGGTTCGTGATGAACCCAACGCTTGGGCTCTGAGACGAACCCAGGAGCTTGGTTCGTCTTAAACCAGGCGCGGGTTCATCGCAAACCCCTCCCCTGGGTTCTAAGACGAACCCAGGCAAACCCAGCTCCTGGGTTCCACGACGAACCCCGCGCTTGGGTTCGTGTGAACTCGAAGGTGAAAAAAAAAAATGAATAAAAAAATAGCAGAGGGAATAGGAATGGGAGAATAATAAACTTTATAATATTTATATTAATAATTATATAGTTAAATGATTTTAAGGTTATATTAATAGAAAATTTAATTATATTATTAATTTTTATCATATGAATATTTCATGTAATTTAAGTAAAGAAAAAATATAAATTTTTTTTAAATTAATATGTTTCGTTAAAACTTAACGAAAAATATTAAAAGGAAGTTAAATTTTTTAAACTTTAAAGATTAGAAAAAAAATTTTAGTATAAGAATTAAAAAAGAACTTTTTTAAAAAGTAGAGGATAAAAAAA